AATGAATAACACACATGAAAGAATTAAACTGAAGAACTCCATAGGGCATTCACCATGGGGGGCTTGAGCGCTAGCACAGCGGGTAGAGCATTTGCCTTGCACACAGCCGACTCGGGTTCGATTCCCAGCATCCCATATGGTCCCCCAAGCACCGCCAGGAGTCATTCCTGAGTGCGGAGCCAGAAGTAACCCCTGAGCATTGCCGGGTGTGACCCCAAAAAAAAAGAACATTCACCATGGCTTTGTATGGACTCACTTTCAAACCCAGAGAACCAAAACCAAAACAGAAATGTTGCATTTACCAACTGCACAAGTAAATTATAATTACACAGCTTCCAAGGAAAGAAAAAAATAGAACAGTAAAAATGTCCAAAACCACCACCAAAGAATATCCAAAAAAAACAAGTGATTTACAAGTAGTTATTGCTACATAAATAAGTAATAACGTAATAAGGATTTTGGGGGGATGTCATTTGGGGTTACATCCAGAGATGCTCAAGGGATACATCTCCTGGCTCTTCACTCAGGAATTATACCTGGTGATGCTTCAGACCATATGGCATGGCAGGGATCAAACACAGGTAGGCTACATGCAAAACAAGCACCCTACCCACTGTACTATCTCTCCAGACCCATTATACAAACTTTTTATAGATTTTCTTTTTCTTTTTTTGGCTTTTTGGGTCCCACCTGGTGATGCTCAGGAGTTACTCCTGGTACTGAGATCAAACTTGCATCAGCCACATACACGGCAAACACCCTACCCACTGTACTATCACTCCAGCCAACTTCTCATAGGTTTTCAATGTTCCTAGGATGCTCCAAAAGAAAAACAAATGTGGGAGAGATGAGGAAGCAGAGTGGAGGGGTTTTAACAAACTCTTTAGAGGAAGATTATTGATACTTTTGTGGTGTGTGGTACTGCTTTGAAAAGTTGTGAGTTGGGGCTGGAGAGATAGCACAGCGGGTAGGGCATTTGCCTTGCACGCGGCCGACCTAGGTTCAAATTCCCGCATCCCATATGGTCCCCTGAGCACTGCCAGGAGTGACTCCTGAGTGCAGAGCCAGGAGTAAACCCCTGTGCATTGCCAGGTGTGACCCAAAAAGCCAAAAAAAAAAAAAAAAAGAAAGAAAAAGAAAGAAAGAAAAAAGAAAAGTTGTGAGTGGGTAGCACTGTAGCACTGTCCCCCTGTTGTTCATCAATTTGCTCGTGTTGTTACTGTGTTCGGCATATTAAATACATCACGGGTAGCTTGCCAGGCTTTGCCATGCAGGCGAGATACTCTCAGTAGCTTGCCGGGCTCTCCGAGAGGGGCAGAGGAATCGAGAGAGGGCTTAGCCAGGCCAGCTACCTGCAAGGCAAATGCCCTACTGCTGTGCTATCACCCCAATAGAGTGAAGATTTAAAGAACTGAGAACCAGTATTCCTGAAACATATACAGTGTTGCAAACTGATTTTTAAACAGAATACTACTACAGTCCCCCCCAAAAAGAAACAAACTGGTTTCTTAATTATCTATGTAAAGATATTTTATGCATAGATTGTAACATACAAGACAACCCATAGTTAACCTTAGCATAAAAGGTAACTGTAACATACAAGACAATCCATAGTTAACCTTAGCATAAAAGGTAACTGTAACATACAAGACAATCCATAGTTAACCTTAGCAAAAAAAAGGTAACTGTAACATACAAAACAATCCATAGTTAACCTTAGCAAAAAAAGGTAACTGTAACATACTAGACAACACCTTAGCAAAAAAAAGGTTATCCCCAGCAGGAAGACCAAGCAGCACCACATCCTCAGCCTTCACGCTGTACTGGAGGTCTGCTTGGCTGAGAACAGCAAGGTGGGGAGGTCCTTTCATCCAAAAACATTAATTTACGATTTATTATTAGTAAATGTTTGATGTATATACTTATTTTTATATACTCGAGATCATGTAAAAATTTTCAGGTGAGAATAAGAAACGGTGATTGGGAAAAGTTTAAGAAATCCTGCTCAAGATCAGGGTTTCTCAACATGGGTCCCTCTGTCCCCCTGTGGACACCTAGTATATTCCACAGGATCACAGGTAAAAATAATGTAAACAGCGGGGCCAAGCATGAGACTAAAGAGACAACCAGTAGAACAGCTGACACACACACCCCCCAAAAAATTCAGAGGGACCCCCCCCAAAAAAAAATTCAGAAGGGAGCCACGGTTGGAAAAAGTGAGAAATAATGTTCTGAGAAGACAGATAAAGCACAGCTACATAGATATTTCACAGTAAATGCCAGATATATCCTAGTACACTGCAATGTGAATATATTTTTCTAATTAGAATCCTACTTGTTCAACAAACATTTTCAGTGTCAACATTCTGCATAGAAAATAAAATCCTAGACAGAGCCTTAAAGATAAAATCAGAGAGAGGCCTATTCTGCCCTCAAGAGGAGATAAGACAAGTACATAAATACCCAAATACAAGGCAGAAAGTGTAAATTCCATGAAAGATATTCAGATAAGGCATTTCAGCAGTGCAGAGAGAGCTGTAACTACCTCCTAACCCTTTCAATCTGTTTAAAAACAATTTCATAACAATTACTAATCTCTTGGGCTCACAACAACCAACCCTATTAATGCCATGTTCTTCTATGATCAGAGGAAAGAAAACTGAAGCATGCAGAAAAGCTGACCACATTTCAATATGTCACATAGCTAAAAAATCAGGAAACTTTGTGTTGTATTTTCTTTGGGAAAGCAAATCAACATATGGCAAATCTCTTGTAAAAATAAAGGATTTTAGTATTACAACTAATTACATCCTTCTATGTGCACATACATGCATATTATTTACATAGTATGTTAACTCTGACTCCTGCAAAGAGGTGCACTTAAAGCAAAGACAAAGCAACTGTGTACTATAAATATTAAAATAAAGTTCCACTGATTTTATCAGAGTAACAGAGGTATTTCTTTCTCCAACAACTTAGTTATTTCTTCTGCAATTTGTACTCATGTCTAAATAAGACTCTATACTGATCTACCCTCAAGCTTAGAAAAGTCGACTCATCTAGTATCTTTATGAAAGGATACAGCAAAACATCTTAAAAAGCTATTAAAATTAAATAATGACAACAACTCATCAGTTACCCAAGGGAAAAATTACACATGACTGAACAGCAAACAGCTACTGATTAAGATACGTTGAGCGAAAATCCCAGACCTTGTTGCTCTTTGCAAACTGCCATGTTTCGCCTCACAGGACTCCCTCTTCAAGATGCGAACAACAAATGTGGCCTTCAATATACTTGTATCTACTGCAGGTGAATACACTAATCCCTAAGAACTGCCCGGATCACTCCTCTCCAGGTTAGCTCTGCCGGGGAGGCACCGTGTCACACAGCATCCGAGAAAGGAAACTGACACTTCCTGAGCAAACATTTTTCATCGATCTCACTTACTCCCACCACACCTTTAATACCTGACTACACCTGATCCGGTTAATCTGGAGAATTCCGTCTTCGGTCTGGAGGCTGATTTCTCAAATCCCTTCCCAAAATAGGTGCGCTCCCCAACTCCGCACACTGCTACACCCACAACCACCAGACCGAGACCCAGGGTTCCGAGCTGCCACTGCCCGCTCCCCACCCTTCGCCATTACTCCCCGTCGCGCCGGACTCGGAAAGGTGAACCAGTTCGCTCCACGCACGGGCAGGGCTGTCACCCTTCCTCCGCGCCTCACGGCCCCAGGCCGGCCACCAGGTCCGCCCGAGTGCGCGGGCCGCCACCTGCGCCGACCGCCCGTCCCGGCCTCGGCTCCGCACGCCTCCGGCCCCCACGGGCGTCTCCGCGCCGCCGGCCGCAGCCCCTTCCTCCTCCGTCTCCCCCGCCGCGGCCGGCCGCCCCGCCTGGCTTCCCCGCCGCGCCCGAGCCGGCCCGAGGCGCAGAGGCCCGGCTGCCGGGGCGGGTCCCGCGCAGCGAGCAGCCGCCCGACCGCGGCGCGTCGGGTTCCCGGGCAGCCCGCGGCGCGCCGGGGCCCGGAGGCCGGGATGCGGGCGCCCGGGCCTACTCACCTGGAGCTGGCGGGGCGCGGGAGCCGGAGCCCCCTCCCCGGCCGAAGGCGCGGACGCGGCCCGCGGCGCGCGGCCCGAGCCGGGAGCCGGGCTGGGCGCGGCGGGCAGGACGCTCACTCGGGCTGCCGCCGCCGCGGCTGCTGCTCCGCCACCACGGCCGCCATCTTGCCTCAACCCCTCTCGCACCCCCCCTGCAGCCCGGCGGCCGGCCGAGGCGGCTCCGGCGGCGGCTCCTCCTCCTTCCGGAGGGCTGGGAGCGCGGCACCCTCCGCGGGCCGCGCGCGGCTCCCGTCTCGCCGGGGCTTTGGCGGTACCCGCAGCCGGGGCCTCCGGCCGTCTCTCGGCCGGCGCGGAGGGCCTGAGCCCGAGCCGCGGACGGGAGCCGGGGCGGCGCCGAGCCCCGCCAGGCCCGCGCGCCGCCATCGCACCCTCACGCCGCGCCCCGCGAGCCGCCCGCCGCCCGGGTTCGGGCTCCCGGGGCCGGGCTCCGTGGCGCCGGCTCTCGGGCGCGCCCGAATCCGCTGGAGTGCCGGCGAGGAGGTCTGTCGTGTGCTCGGCCCTGCATCGGCTGTCACTGAGGGGAGCCAGCGACCGCGGCCGACGGCCTCTCCGCCGCACGCTTCTCCTGAAGTGGGCGCCTGAGTCCTCGTAACCGTAAAACCAGCTCCTTTTCCTTAGAGACGCCAATGCTCCAGGTCCCAACTCTTAGAGGGTAACCAGAGTTACTGTGTCATCTGAATGTGGGGCGGGCTGACCGTCAGAAGGACGGAAAGGTCCGGGTTTTAAGAAATGGGTTCCTGGCTAGGAGGGAGCTTGACTAGATGTGAAGACTTCGTTTAGAAACGCTTCTTGGAACCCTTTCATTGTGAGGAAGGGTCAGGGTGGGGAACTGGACGGCAAGGGTCCGGCTGGGAGGGCGAGCAGGCACGAGACTCCTAGGACGCGGCCCTGCGTGGGGAGAATTCAATCAGGAAGAGCAGGACGCCATCTGGAAGCCCCAGGACGGAGCGGCGGCCGGCCGCCCGCCCGTCGCGGCGGGACGCGGGAGCGGCCGCTTTGCGGAACGCAGGTTCCCCGGCGCCGCTTTCCCTCCGGAGCCGGGGCCGAGAGTCTTCCCGGCGCGCAGGCGCAGAGGCTCCAGGGACGCATGGCCGCGCTCGAGATTCTGGCTGCGGCTGCGGCTGCCGCCGCGATCGCGGCATGGGCCTTCCTCTGGGTGTGGGACTCCTCAGAGAGAATCCGGAATCGGGAGCAGGCCGGCCTGCGCGACGACGAGAGCCGGGCCCTCCTGGTCATCGCACACCCCGACGACGAAGCCATGTTCTTCGCGCCCACGGTGTTAGGCTTGGGTCGCGGGGGACACCGGCTGTCCCTGCTCTGCTTTTCCGCAGGTAAGAGGTCGTGGGCGGGGCTCACCTGTCTCGGGAGCTCCCTAGAGCGCCCGGGGTCTCAGGGTGGAAACGGGAGCGCCCGGCTTTGTGGAGGAGCTGGGAAACGTGTGTGGTTTGTGCACGCCGCCCTGCTAGCAGAATCCGAGAGTACAAGAGAACTGCTCGCTATTCCCGCTCTGCGCCTCCATTGTCAGTGGTACCTGCCGCTGTGTTCTGGAGCGGTAGCACAGCGGTAGGGCGTTTGCCTTGCATGCAGCCGGACCGGCGGAGCCGGGTTCGATTCATCCGCCCCTCTCGGAGAGCGGGGCAAGCTACCGAGAGTGTCTCACCCGCACGCCAAAGCCTGGCAAGCTACTCATATTGACGTGTTCAATTTGCCAAACACAGTAACAACAAGTCTCACGATGGAGACGTTACTGGGCCCGCTCGAGCTAAATGATGAATAACTGGAGGACCGTGACCTGCCGCTGTACTTAATATTCTTGGAGGCTTTTTATTTGCAGAAGGTTAATGTATAGTACACCCAACAGTATCTGCTGTGTCGTGTCTGTGCAACGCTCAGTGTTTTATTTCTAATGGCAGCAAAGGCGCCCATTACTACTTTCAAAATGTATTTCATGCCAGGAACATGGCATGTGTCAAATTGAAAGTGTAGAGTAAAAAATAATTTTATGGAAGACTTTAAGTTCAATCCTACCCAAACTTTCAAAGAATAAATGCCACCCAAGTGGGAGGAAGGGGAGAGCAGGTAGGTACAGCAGGTAGGACTCTTGCCTTGCACGAAGCCCACCCATTTTGATCCCCAGCTGCGTGTAGAGTTCCCGGAGCCCCGCCAGGAGTAAGATCTGAGTTCCGGGTGTGTCCCCTGTTCCCCAAAAATATATATGTAGGGAAGAATATCAGACGCGAGAAAAAGAATTGACCTTGATACTGGATTATAGTGATAACTGCATAAATGTATAAGCAATTCACTTAAACTCTATTGTGTGCATGTGTATATAGAGAGTGAATTTTATGTAAAAGTTACACCTCAATAAATTTTTTCTATCGCCATTGACTTCTTTCCTGTTTTATTGTATGCCCTACCAATTCATTTTCTGTATAGATTTTTTCACAGAAATCATTGTATAAACTATATTCTTTTGTCAACATTAATCTTTAATTTACTTGAAAATGTTTATTTAAAATGTTTGTTCACAACATACCTATTAACAACCTGAGGACACCAGATACTGACATGTAGAACAATAGGAACTCATTCTGTTGTAAATGAAAAATTTACACTTTAGGAGTCAGTAAGTTTAGCAGTTTCTTACAATATTAAACATACTCATTTTTTTGTTGGAATAAAACATTTTTTGGAGGGTTTTAGGATGGGGAGGAGGAAGGGAAAGTGAGAGAGTAACATAGGCTTTTCTGAAGGCAGAAAGAGCCCCTACACTCACCTCAGCATGAGAGTGCACATCTCAGGAAGCATGAGAGTACACATCTCAGGAGGGGAGGTGCCAGCGGTGCATGTGCTGGGCCACATGGTCACAAGCACACATGGGCTTGGGCAGCATATGTGCCCAATATTAAACATACGCTTATCATACTATCCAACAATTATATTCCTTGGTATTTACACAAAGAAATTGAAAACATGTCCACACTAAAAGATGTTTACAGTCCAAATATTATGGATAATGGTTAGCATTATCCATAATTGCCAAAATTTGGAAGCAATCAAGATGTCCTTCAGTAGGTAAATGGCTAAACAGTGACAAGTCCTGACAGTAGAAGAGCACCAAATAGAAATGAACTGTCAATTCATGAACATAGAATAACATTATAGGCATTCTGCTAAGAAAGAAGCTAATCAAAAAAGCCAAATCATCTGTTCTTATGTGATTCCAACCAAATACATTCCAGAAAAGGCAAACTATGGAAACGGCTAAAAAAAAAAGTCAATGATACACACCAGTTCTGAATAGGAAGAAGGATGGATAGATAAAACACAGGATACTTAAGGCAGTGAAAATCACTACAAGGTATAATGTTGAATAAGTCACCTGACTTACCTAGCCGCATTGGCCAGAACATCACTTATGTAAATTTTTATTGTCTGAACTTCCTCCCAGCCTAGTGGCTGGGTTCCCCCATTAAGTGTCCAGAGAGACAGCCTGAGGTAGAGATCCTATTACTTATCCTACCTTACCTAATCTTAGATATCATGCTGTATCACTTTCAGGATCTTCTTTTTTGTCAGGGCAGTCAAAGGTCAGATCAAGGTTCAAGATGAAAATTATGGCTGAGCTTTGATTTGTCTGGGTTTTTATTTTAAGCTATATCCAGAACTGCTTTGGGGCTACTCTCAGGTCAGGGGACCTTGCAATGGTGAGTATCTAGCCCGGGCCTCCCACTTTAGGCATTACCTTGTGAAGGCTCTGTCATTCTTTGATGTTCCCTGTTTTTGTGCCCAGTTCTTATCTTCTATTCAAGCTTTAAGTGGCCAGGCACAACTAAATACATTCAAGGCTCCCTGACTTCACCACCGACCTACCTCTCTAGACTTGTGGTGTTTGCCTTAATGTTTGAGGTTGCCAAAAATAGTTCTTAATTTTCCGCTAGTTCAGCCATACATACTAAAACATGTTTTTCTTTTATGTCATATATTGAAATACGCAGAGAGGATTTCTCTGGATATATGATTTGCCATATTTCCTGAAACGGGTCTTCAGATTATTTTATATTATTTTTTAATCAGTAATTCTTCAAAATTTTTCTTCTTGAAATATATTTAGGAGTAAAGTGTTTATTCTAATTGGTTTATTATTTCTGACCCAATATATATGGGTAAAGGTAAAGGTAAAGGCCCTCCCGTTGATCGTCGATTTGCTCGAGCGGGCCCAGTAACGTCTCCATTGGAGACTTTGTTGTTACTGTGTCTGGCATATCGAATACTCTCGGTAGCTTGCCGGGCTCTCCGAGAGGGGCGGAGGAATCGAACTCGGTCGGCCATGTTGGCCGCTTGTAAGGCGAACGCCCTACCCGCTGTGCTATCGCTCCTATTAAAAAATATGTGATCCTAAGTGTTACTACGTCCAATTTAGAATGAAATAAATTATTATTTTTTATGTAGAAATATTGCTATTTATTCAGCTATTGATTAGGCTGATTGAATTGGGCACGAACTCCACCTTACTTTTTTTTTTATACTTTTATTTATTGAATCACCGTGAGAGCAATTACAAAACATTCGGGTTTAAGTCTCGGCCATAGAATCAAACACCCCTTCCTTCACCAGTGCCCATTTTCCACCACCAAACCCCCCAGTATACCCCCCATTCCACACCCTCCCCCTACCAGTGGGGCAGATGATTTCCACATTACTCTCTCTCTACTTTGATTACATTCAATATTTTGACACCGACCCACCATTGTTATTTGGGATTTTACTGCAACACTCAGATCTGCCAAAAAGGCAACAGTAGACAATTTGTTTTTTATTGCTGGTTATGATGTCGCTTGGCCACAGTATTGGCCACAGATTTTGGAATTCCGAAATTTTAACAATTAAATCTGAAGGGATTTCTGCCAAAACCTGCTGGGTTCCGAGATTTGTTCCTGAGTCTCTTGGATCATGGCTGTTAAGCAGCTTGATCAGGAGCCAGAGAGGCCGTTCATTGGCTGGGTCTTCGGATCTCCTTGGGGCAGGGAGGGAAGGACTGACTCCCAACTCCATCCCTCAAGGCCCCACATGTCTCATCACTGCGGACCCAATCCTGACTGTCCAATGACCTCTGGAGGATGGCAGCTACTGAGCCGCCAAGGGGGAGCAGGCGGAGAGACAGCACCCTTTACCCCCTGGGGTGGCCCGGCCGCTGCTAACCTACTGCAGGGACCAGATGCATTTCTGCCAAAAACCGCTGGGTTCCAAGATTTGTTTCTGAGTCTCTTGGATCATTTCCGTTAAGCAGCTTGACCAGGAGCTAGAGAGGCCGTTCATGGGTGGTGACTCGGTCTCGTGGGGTGGGGAGGAAAGGGCCAACTCCACCCCCATCCCGTGAGGCCGCACGTGTCTCGTCACTGAGGCCCAAGCATGACTATCCAGTGGCCTCCGGAGGATGGTGGCCACTGTGCCGCCAAGGGGGAACAGGCAAAGGGAAAGCACACTTTCCCCCATGGTGTGTCCCAGGGACAGTAACCTGCTGTGGGGTCTGGAAGCATTTATGCCAAAAGCCGCTGGGTTTCAAGATTTGTTTCTGTGTCTCTGGGATCACGGCTGTTAAGCAGCTTGATCAGGAGCCAGAGAGGACCTTCCTGGGCAGCAACTCAAGGTCTCATTGGGGTGGGGATGAAAGCACCGGCTCCACCCCCATCCCATGAGGCCCTGCGTGTCTTGTCACTGCGGGACAAAACCTGACTGTCCATTGGCCTCTGGAGGATGGCAGCCACCAAGCCTCCAAAGGGGAGCAGGGGGAGGGACAACACCCATTCCCCCCAGGGTCGTCCAGCGCATCTCTGCCAAAAGCTTCCGGGTTCCCAGGTTTGTCTCAGTCTCTGGGATCATGGCTGTTAAGCAGTTCGATCAGGAACAGAGAGACCTTGCCTCCAATTATATAGCTGAGCCAGAGGTGGTTTGTGGGTGTGTCTCCCACATACCTAATTTTTGGCCATTTACTTTCTTGGTAAACTTTGCCCCAAGTTGTTGCTGCCAAAGACAACAGGAGCAATTTTGGGGTATCTGGAAGTCTGAAGGTGCCATCAGGCTGCTGATGCCTCACAGGTACAGATTGCCCTATCGGCGGCACCATATCCCCTTAAATTAGTAATTTTGGACAGAAATGTATTTTAGTAATAGACTACATGCTTTCTTTGTATAAGGTCCTGAGTTCAAATACACACACACAAAAAGAATTGTTTAAGAAAGTCCAGTGCTTGCCTAGCATTGCAATACTGCTCAGATGTAGTACACTGAGGGCCTCCTAGACTACAACTGGCAGTGCTGGGGGTACCGC